ATTTAATTACCCAAGCCAGAAGTCAGTCAATACTTAGGTGCCCTTATATAATGCCTTAGAGGGAAAACATTTCAGATTGCTAGGGAAACCCCATGAGCACAATGACACTGCTCTGTTATCTAGGGAGGTATTGTTTCTGGGATTCTGAGATACAATAGGGTAGAAAAACAGTAGGAGATGTTTCTTGTAGTAACAACATCTCCATTTTAACACATGGCTTTGAATGTTTTACCTATGAGCTATGTACTGTTTGAACACCAACAGGAGTACAACTGAACTAGACTAAAGCCTAAGCGAAGATGGGTGTCAACCCTAAAAGCATAAAAGTAGCAACTAGCTAGCACATCACTCTCCCAAAAGACAACTGAAACATGTAGTATGATTGTTTCTTTGAATACTACACAGCAAAGAGAATGGATACATTATCATCACATGCGATGGCTTGGAGGAATTTCACATACATAATATTGAATGAAAGAATACAAACATGATAGGATAAAAACAGAACAATTTTAATACTGTGTGCTTTATAAAAACATGCACAACTATGTACTATATTGGTATCAGTTTTGTTAAGGTCCAGAGGCAGTCTGTGAAGGGCTTGTGTTCTGATTTTTGCTCAGGGTTTGGAAGCAGACACATGTTATCTTTTAATTTTTAAAAATGCATTTTTTAAAAAACATACACATGCATATCTTTTAAAGATTTTCTAAAAACAATGGCTATTTACTATCAGATTATATGCAACTGCAGGATTTCATTACTGTTTTAAGTCTCTTACGGTTTCCTCTACACACGTTTTCAAAATATTTTTGTAAAATTAACAAAGCGTGCAACTTGCATAAACTATTCCATTAAACGATTGACTTTTGTTACCAGAAAGTACTACCTTGTTTATATATCAGAGATGTTTTTAGCAGCCCTCCGTCCCTGCTTTTCTTGTTTCCTGCAACAGGAAGCCTTTACTAAGCCTGGTTTTCCTTGGGAGTATTGTCATGTGTCATGCGCTCCACCCATGTGAGAATGAGCCATACCTCAGGGCCAAACCACCACTGTCTGGAAGAAGGGGGTTATAAGTAGACACTTATCGATGCTGTATTGTGTTTGGGGGCACCTGTGATATCAGGAAAGCAAAGTAGATACAGAATTTTTTTTCTCCTGCTTGCTCTGAAGTCCTAAATTCTATTGGAAATCTTCCCCTTCAACCTGTAGTTAAAGAAAGCCATTCTATTAGAACATAAAACCTTTGGGAAAAAATTCTACAAACATTTAGTAAAAATAAAAACCATTAACCTTTTTTTAGAGGTGTTACAAATACTTTCCCATTCTATTACTTGTTCTTTAACTTTTTTTATATGCCTATTATTTATAGTCTTAAATGTTTCATATAGTCATATTGTCAATATTTTACTTTATAGCTTCTGGGTTTGAATATTTTAATTCAGGGTAAGAAAAATATTATTTTGTATCTTCTCCTAAAACTCCTTAGATTTTACATATTGATTTTTAACTCACCTGAATGATTTTTGTATAATGAGTGTAAGAGGCCTCTACATTTGTTTCAAGTAATAGTGGTCTATGCACTTTATTTGTTGAATAAGCCTTATTTTCCCCATTGATTTGAAATATCAATTTAATCATATATTACACTGTTAATCGTATATTACATTGTTAGACGGATATATATGTTTGTTTCCAGAATGCTCATTTTTCTTCATTGATTTTCTTGATTATTCTGTGCTAGTGTCATGGTAATCGCTGAAACTTTATAATAGATTTTAATTTTTTAATATTTTATAATGGATTTTGACATTTAAAAAATAAATAAATAAAAGTAATCTGCATTTAAAAAATAAAGAAAGAAGGAACTTCTACCTTTGGTAACAACATGGATGGAACTGAAGAACATTATGCTAAGTGAAATAAGCCAGTCAATGAAAGACAAATACCATATGATCTCACCTATAAGTGGAATCTATTCAACAGAATAAACTAACGAACAAAATAAACCACAGGCATGGAACATGGAGCAGACTGAAAGTGACCAGAGGGGATGGGGAAGGAAGACAATGGTGGAACGAAGAGGAAGGGACTAGAAAAAGAAAATGTATGAGTGACCCATGGACATGGACAACAGAGTGAGAATTGACTGTGGGAGCGGAGTGGGAGGGATGGGTAGAGGAAGACAAAGGGGGATAATTGAAACAATTGTAATAGAATAAACATGACTTTTTTTTAAAGAACATAAAACCTTTGGGAATGATGTAAATTATCTAATCTTCAACAATGTATTGCGATCCAACTCTGGATTTAATGGGGAGTGGGAGGTGGACTACAGGGGCTTCCATGTTTATGACGATGACTCTTGGTTCCTGCTGGAAGGGAGTGGAGCCTGAGGTAACCTGCACCCCTGGAGGCAGGGGGCACCTGAGGGGCAAACGAGTATGGGGAGGAGTCGGGGGAAGGGGCCCAGGGTGACTCTGCCTCCTCCACAAATACACGAGAGACAAGACAATGGTCGTAAAGCTCTTCGGTCCCACAGGTACAGCACTTCCTTGTGTTTACCTCGTGGAAAATCACTTCTGTGGCCTTTAAAACACCTAACATGCTTTTAAGTCTGTATTTCTTTCCCATTCACCCTGTCTGTAGACAATAACACGTGACAAAACATATCATTACATCTGTCACTTTTTCCTGCCACAGCGTGTGCAGCGCCCAGTGACCAGACACGAAGTTGGGGCTATAACCCAGCTGAGTCCGGAGACAGCGCGGAGCCTCCGCAGACAGACTGGATGGGATGCAGGCGCCAGCGCTCTGGGACAGGTACCGGGGCCTGCTGCTTTCCTTTCTGCCTTAGATTTCTCTAATATTTACCTTTATTGGACGGAAAGTATGCGATAACTCTTTAAGAAGTGTGAAATACTATAGAAACTTTTATTTTAATTACTTTTATCCATCTAAATTTAAAGACATATACATAAAGGCAGAAAATGCAATGAACTGCAATAATGGATTGTGGAGGTGGTGGGATTTCTTATTTTTAATCTCTTACCTGTACTTTATATATTTTTAAAAGAAATATTTCCTTTTTTATGGAAAGCATTTTTTTAAAGATGTGTATATTAAGGATAGATATAGAAATTACTTTATGCCAAGTGTTTGAAGGATTGCACATGGATCACTAGGTCTTTACTCAGATTTTCTTTTTCTGTTCCTCTAACTTGAACTTCATGGTCATTGTATTCTCACAGAAGGGATCATATGTGACATATATAACATGTTCATTGGTCAAATTATAACTGGCAGAAAGAACTCAGTTGGCCTCCCAAAGACCAATTCTTATAAAGACAGGCAGATTTCAGAGCTACTCAAGAAAAATAGGGGTCAAAAAAACAATAAGCAATTTTCTCTGAAAACTGAAAATGGAACTGCATTTTGACCCAGCAATACCATTGCTGGGATTATGCCCTAAGAATTCTGAAACACCAACTCAAAACAACCTATGTATCCTGATGTTCACAGCATCATTATTTACAATAGCCAAATATGGGAAAGAGCCCCAGTGCCCTTCAGTTAATGATGTGGTACATTAATGCAACAGAATACTACACAGCAGAAAGAAAGAAGGAACTCATACTCTACTAAAGAGCATTGATGGAATTGGAGAGTATTATGCTAAGTGAAATAAGCCAAAGGGAGAAAGACAAATATCATATGATCTCACCTATAAGTGGAACATAATCAACAAAACAAACAAATGAGCAAAATAGAACCAGGACTTGGAAATAAAGAACAAACAACAATGACCAGTGGGGATGGGGGAGGAAAAAGGAGAATAACCAGGGAAATAAGGCTAAGGGTCAAGTCAGGAAACATGTATAAAGAACCCATGTACAAAGACAACACAGGGGAAGAATGAAAGTGGAAGGTGGGGAGACAGTAGAGAAGGGGAGAGCAATGCGGGGGAGGGAAATAGGGACACCCATAATTAAAAACCATGCAGAAAAAGAAAACAATAGCAAAATTTCAATTGTGGGGAAAACATGATTTCTCTCTGAAGTTACTGGTCTGTGGACAGATGAGGACTTTTATCGTGTGTCTGACATATCTGTTCTGTTGGTGATACATCGTGTGGATGCCAGTTGATTAGAGGACAGTGACTCACAGGGAAATACATCACCCTCTCTTTCTGTCACCCTAGCTACCAGCATGCCCAGAGTCAGGTCCCAAACATTGCTCCGAAGCTCTGCTGAACAACAACAGCTGCCAGAGGGAGCATGGGGAGCCCAGGCCATTCCAGCCTAACGTGTCGCGCTCAGGACCCTGCCAGCCTCCTCTCCGGCAGCCACCACCTCCTGCGCCAGCGGGCCCTGGGTCACAAACTCTCTCTACCCTTGTTTACTGAGACTGGAAAGCACCTGAGGGGTTAATAGGGATGTAGGGGGGTCCAGATACCCACCAGGTCTCTGCCGACTCCACAACTGTAAAAATAAAGGGAATATAAGACAATATATTCATTATTCATACCTATCACCTAGCTATGTTTCTCAATTACAAATATAACACAGTCTCCACAATATTGGAAAACCACAACAATCCTATCAGAAGATGTGGGTGACTGAACCAATTAATTTAAGAACTATTGCCTCAACTGTAAAAACATCAATTTCTTAATCTAAAAGAAAGGAGTAACAAAAATTATCTTAAATACTAAATCATTTGCTATGGAAATATCAGGATTTGATGTAAAAGTGTGCCAGAAACTCAGTATAATGCTATGTAAATGTAAGAGATATTATCATTATCACTTATTGATTTACATTATATAGCAGGTATTTCCAAGGAGTCAGGTTTCCATATGGAGTCCTAGCACTGTTTACTTCTTTCTCCAATTACTGACAAAAAGAAAGAACCAGCACTTTAACTGCTAAGACAGTAAGATGATTTTCCTTCCACTTGCATTTTCTTCCTCCACAACCCGGGACCTCCAGGCCTGAGTGATGGCCCTTGAGAACTGCACTGTGTTTGCGGACTTCATTCTCTTAGGACTCTCTGGCAGACAGGATGTGCAGCAGGGGCTCTTCGCGCTCTTCCTGCTGGTTTATGGCATCACGGTGATCGCCAATCTAGGGATGATCCTGCTGATCAACGTGGACCCCCGACTCCACACGCCCATGTATTACTTCCTGAGCAATCTGTCTTTCAGTGATATCTGCTACTCCTCCGCTGTCTCTCCCAAGATGCTGGCTGATTTCTTATCTGAGCAAAAGAGGATTGCATATCATTTATGTGCTGTTCAGATGTTTGCTTTTGGTGTCTTTGCAGATGTGGAATGTGTCATGCTGTCTGTCATGGCGTATGACCGCTACGTAGCCATTTGTAATCCACTGCTTTATACAACAACCATGTCCAGAAAAGTCTGTGCCCAGCTAGTGGCCATTGTGTACATCCAAAGTTTGTTGTATTCTTCAGTCTTTACCTATTACACAATTCAATTGTCATTCTGTAATTCCAATGTCATCAATCACTTTTTCTGTGACATCCCACCGTTACTAGCCCTCTCCACCTCTGACACCACCATCAATGAGATAGTGATGTTCACTTACAGTAGCTGTGTTCTGGGGACCAGCATCGTCACTGTCCTCCTCTCCTACAGCTACATCATAACTACCATCCTGCGAATGAAATCAGCCAAGGGCAGACACAAAGCCTTCTCTACCTGTGCCTCCCACTTAACCGCTGTGGCTATATTTTATGGGACACTCTTGTTCATGTATTTCCGACCCAGCTCGAGTTACTCCATGGACACAGACAAAGTGGCCTCTGTTTTCTACACAGTTGTCATTCCCATGTTAAACCCACTGATCTACAGCTTAAGGAATAGGGACGTGAAAGATGCCCTGAAAAAAGCAGTTGGCACTAAATTATGTCTGATTGAAGCCATGATTTCACCCAAAGTACTTATTTCAAGATCCTGAGAGCTAAAGTTCAGGTATTTTTGTTGTTGTTGTTCAATTACAGTTGTCCCACCTTTTTCCCTATTGCTCTCCCCTACCCCACCCCCCCAGCTCCCGCCATCAATCCTCCCCATTGTCCATTCCTTGTGTCTTCCACTCATATTCCTTGACTTGCCCCTTCCCCTTTTTTTACTCTTTGTCTCCCTCCCCTCTCCTGTATGGTCACTCTCAGTTTGTTCTTTATTTCCAAGTCTCTGGTTCTATTTTGCTCATTGTTTGTTTTGTTGATTAGGTTCCACTTATAGGTGAGATCATATGGAATTTGTCTTTCACCACCTGGCTTATTTCACTTAGCATAATGCTCTCCCATTCCATCAATGCTGTTTAATAAGGTATGAATTCCTTCTTTCTTTATGCTGCATAGTATTCCATTGTGTAAATGTACCAAAGTTTTGAAGTTCAGGTATTTTGGCATACATTTCTATCAACCCACCAGTCCTCTGTTTAGGTATTTTCCATCATTTTTCATTATGTCTAAGTTAAATGTAGGGACCAGTCATTATTGATCTTAATCTCTTCTGCAAGCTAAAGGAGACTAGTTATACGTTTGTTTTACCCTTTTTCAAAGGTTTTTATCCCTCCCTTCTCTGTGCATGAGTAGTGTCAGTGAGACATCACAGGCAAATCAACCCCTACAGCTAAGTCAGTTCACCCTCCCAAGGTTCTATTTATTTTGTACAATGAGTATAATAAACTTGCTCATTCAGGGGGAGCTTATGGGTTAAAATAGGCACTTTGTCTTATTGTTATGTATTTCTATCACCCTACAAATACTTCATCATAACACTTAGAAATATAAGTAGTATATAAGTAAATAAGAATTTTTATAAATTCTGGCCCTAACAGTTTCATGAATGCTGACCCTCTCCTGTCTATTCACAAATATTTCTGCCTTGCTATTGACAATGCTCTCTTCCAGAATGTTATTCTAAAACATTTGTTGAATAAATGAATGTGTCCTCTGTAAAACTAATGTAAATTTTTTTTAAATACAGGGCTCCCTTTATTTCATTTTCTTCTATTCTAATACATTAACCTTAGACAAAATTCATGGGTGCTCTTTGTTTTTTGGCCTCGGCTGAATAAGTTTCAAGGACAGAGATCACAGGATACAGAGAACTTCCTGGATCTTCTAAATCCCATCATTCTGCCCCAGACTCATTAACAAAAGATCAGGAGGTGTAGATTTATATTGCACCTCACAGTATTCATATCAGCCTAGGGATTTCCCTTCTTGCCCTCACTGTGGAGAACAGACATGACCTTATTGACAAACAGACAGACACTGCATGAATGGAAGTTAGGTTTAATAGCACCACGACCTCCTCAATGTCTCCAGAAAAGTATACTCCATCTTGATGTGTACATAGCTCCACACTAGTTAAAAATAAATTTTAAGAAATGAATTGCCCAAATGATACCATTTAAATTGTAAAGGCATAGTTATAAACAAAAATATGTGTTCAATGGAAAAATAAGGATAAATCATAGTACGCTATTTGTAATGATTTACATTTGCTCTCTGTATGTTGTGTAATAAACTAGAACCATATTATGCACACCACTTTAATAGTGGTCATTTCTGAGTATGTTAATGCTATTCCAGTAACTTAATTAGTTAATTGCTTAGGTTGTTCTCCTTGCAGTCAATTGACAGTTAATCAAGCTGTGAAAAACATAATACAATTTCAGGTTCTAATGAGTGCTTATTTTACTTTATGTTGTTGTCAAGAAAGAAACAAGGAGACACTCTTTTTTGGTTCCAGAAGGACAGAGTATTGATTAAGAGAAGGCTTTTCATTTAGGTTCTCATCCCTAATTTTATCTATCCCTTTGGTGTATAAAAAGTGCTGAATGTCATGTACTTCCAAGCATGATAGGAATGGAACAGTATATTAGAAACATGCAATTTTTAAGAGGTTACTTGTCTTTGGGTATTGATTGGAGAGAGTTGTAAGACAAAAATATTTTATTACTCTTAACTCTTTTCTTTTATATCAACTTATTTATTTGTTGTTCATAGAATATTTAGCACATCAGGACCTCTCAATCATTGTCCAAACTTCTTCCACTCTCAATTATTTTATTAAAAACATTCTAAATATATTCATATCTATTTATGTTGTATAAAATTAGATTTGTTGGTCATCATTTGCATATACATTTAGGAGAAAAAAATACCATACTTTTTTCTTTGTCTTTTTTTTAAGATACTGAAATAATAGCTTTTACACATAGGCAGGAAAGCAGAATTTTTGTTTCTGTTTGTGTCTTATTTTCATTTGAGGGAAATGATCAATATGGTACTCAGGTTAAGATAAGAACTGGACTTTGAAATGAGACACATCAGATTTCAAATCTGTTCAAATCCTTTCCTTGTCCCCATTAAATGCAATAAAAAGGGGGAAAAAGAAAAAATTATTTCCTTATTAACTGTGGTATAAGCTTAGTTTCCTCATCTCTTTATCACAGGCATAATATAGACATTATAAGGAGAAATATATATAAAATCAGGCATTTATGATTGCCGAAGAGCATTCGTAAGGTCTTACACAGACAGCTAACTCCCAATCAGGAGCCAAAGCCCTCGTGCTGGAAGAAGAGACGGTTTCCTCCCCAGCTTTATGTCAGGAGGTGAAGTCTCCAAGATCCATTACAGCCTGCTCACCCCACTGGCAGATTCCCTTGTGAGTCCCAGCCTCGGGTGCTTTGGGGCTCTCTGCCATCCATCCCACAGCTTGTCTTTCCTGAAATGCCTTCACTCTTACCGCTGAGTAGAGGTTGTTCATGGCTGCCCATGCTGGCCACACCATTCCCACGTCCAGGCCAAATCCCTGGGCCCACTCTACTAATCTAAGTTCCAGACCCCGCACTGCCAAGAAGCAATTCAGATAATTAATCCCAGAGTACCTCATTTCATGTTATTCTATTTGTCCCTGTCCCAAGGACTGTGACTATAATGGCCCATTAAACTACAAAGGAACCAATAGTCATTCACTACTCCTGCACTCTGGACATCTTCTGCTCAGTATTTAGGAAAAAACACTTGGTTCTCGTCACTCTCGGGCAGCCATTCCATTCTTCTCTATTGAAACCCTACTTTGGCCAGAGTGCTAGCTCACCACTGATATTCAAAGACAAACCCCTTTTAGGAAAGCTACCTTGCATTGCAGTAAAAGGAACTGCGATCTAGACTATAACCCAACATACATTTTCACTGTCAGAAGGTTTTCCTCAGTCCCCTTCAAAGTAGGCACCATAGACCTCACACAATTCTCCCAATTGCCATCACCTTCCCCATTGTATTTTCATAAATCTCACAGATAGTCTGAAACCTCTTCCCTTTCAAAGATTATTTTAGTTTTGGGAAAAGCCAGAAGTCACAGGGAATCAAATCTGGGCTGTAGGGGGGCTGAGTCACCTGGGTTATTGGATGTTTAGTCAAAAAAACTCCACACGAGATATGCACAAGGGGACACGCTGTGGTGATGAAGCTGCCAATCACCAGTTGCCCATCACTGCAGCCTTCTGAATCATCCCAACATTTCTAACAGAAGAATATTCAAGCTTAATGCAAAATTTGATGCATCTTCGTTGCTCTACTTGATCAGTCATTTTTAATGCAATGGCCACACTGCACACATGCTCACTCAATCACATCTATTGCCTCAATAGACTAGTTCAGGGAAGTGATCATTGTTCACTCATGTGCATTCCAGTCCACTCTCCTTGGCTGCCAGGTTATATTGATGTGGCACAAACCATTCTCCTTATATTAACAATAGGTGGACTATTTCTGGACACATTTCATGTACTTTCTTTAAACTTACCAGTCCTACTTAACACTACTTAACAGGCATTCAATTCCACATTCTTCATCTAAGATACACTTTATAAAAGTGAATATTCAACTTTATTAATTGTCATGGCTATAAAATACTCAAAGTAATGGCTACAATTAAAGGACAGGCAGTATTAAGTTTTATTGGTGAGGATGTTCAACAAGGGACTCACACAAGGATAGTGTGTTATTGGCAGGCTGGATTGACAGACTTGATAGAAAACTGTATAATGACATTTACTAAACCTAAATTTTATACACATGCCCATACACATTTTCAACTCCTGATTTTATATACAAGATAAATAAGTGTATATGTGTACCAAAAGGTATTAGAAATGTGTATACACTAAAATTATTGGTGATAACAAAAGAGAAAACAACTCAATTGTCTACATGCACATTAAAGTAGGTAAATAAATGAGAATATAGTTGTATAAAAGAATGCTATACAACAATAGAAATCAGTGTTTTGCAACTGAATGCAACAATGTGCACAAATGTATAATTGACTTAAGCAGCACATGCTTTAGGTGTCTGCTGGTGTATGGTTCAAAGCAGCATAAAACTAATCTACCGTGATAATAACCAAGAATGTAATTACTTCTTTGGGTGAAGAGAGTAGTGACTTAAGGGGATATCTTCATGCCATGACCAATGTGACTTGGCTGGGTGTTGTCCCACAAAGTGAAAGGTCACCAGTTTGATTCCCAAGCAGGGCACATGCTTGGGTTGCAGGTTCAGTCCCCAGTCAAGGTGCATACGAGAGGTAACCAAATGATGTTCCTCTCTCACATTGATGTTTCTTTCCCTCTTTTTCTCCCTCCTTTCCCCTCTCTCTAAAAAATAAATAAATGAAATCTTTATTTTTAAAATAAAGATATCTCCAATAGAAGGCTTTGGTGATTCTGGTAGTGTTCTGTTTGTTGGTCTGGTCCTGGTTACAAGGGTATTTTTTTAAATTTTATTTTAATTTATTTTTTCAAATACATTTGTCTCTGCCTACCCCCCACCACTTTCCCTTGCCCCCTCCCTCGTTCCCTCCCTCAGCTCTTCCCCTTTTGTTTTGTCCATGAGTCCTTGCTATATGTTCCTTGACTTTCCCCTTCCCTTCCTTTTC